TTGTTAAGTGAGAAATTTATTGAGTTTTGCCCCATTTTACAATTTTTCTTGCCACATTTGTTAAGTGAAAAAAAATTTTTAATCAACCCCCCACCCCGTCAATGGTGTCCCTCTTTACCAATGTTAAAATCTGGTCACCTTATGTTAGAGCTAGTGGTTGGGAAATTGAAAATTATATTAGCGCACATTCATTATACTTTGTTAAAACAGAAACATAGATTTCTAGAAATAAATCAAAGTGAACCTATGGCATTCATTTCTAAGATGCTGCTGCAATGTTCTTACACATGGTTGTAAGACTTCATTAAGGATATTTTTTGGTCATTTTGCACACACTTATAGCTTTCCATCTGTTTTTGAATCAATACCTTTTACTGAAATAAGCATGAGGTTTATATGAATTTTAAGCCACTCGAAATATTATTTTCCTCACTTTATATCATCAAATATGCCCATCGGCGTTCAGGTATTTGTTACAGACATCCTAATATCTCAGAGATCCCTGTATATTCATCCCACAGATTGTGAGAGTTTATACAAAAACAGAGATATATTTGTGTTTATTTTTATTAGCTTTGTGCAAGTTAATACCTATTGCCACTGCCTCTATATAACAGGAAACTTTTATACTGTTATTAACTAATTGTATCTCAATTTCACAAAGTAATAGATTGAATGAGAAGACTCTTTATTAGACTGCATGATAGAGATGTAAAACTGTATCATCTAATAAAAATACTTTTGTCAAACGGATGAAGGGCCTAATTTTATTTTCTCACAATTCATGTTTTTCTCAACATCATTTGAATTCATTATTTTGACCCACATTATTTTGACCCATATGTCTTTAATCCAGTGGTGAAATCTAAATTGTTTCCCTACCGGTTCTGTGGGCGTGGCTTGGTGGGGGCGTTATGTGACTGGGTGGGATGGCTATCTGGTGATGTGACTGGGGGGTGTGTGTGTCAAAAGACAGAAACTAACTTTAACGATGTCCTGCTGAGCAGGGGGTTGGACTAGATGACCTCTAGGTCCCTTCCAGCCCTGGATTGCTGTGCTCTTTCAAGATATCCTCTGAAGCTACATCTAGTGCCAGATTTGTGTTCCTCCCTCCCTCTACTTTTTCCCTCCCTCCCTCTGTCTCTCTCTCTCTCTCTCAGCACATACACCCCTTCCCCGCTTTTTAAAGCATTTCCCCCCCTGCCTATTCGCTCAAACTGACAAGGAAAAAATGCTTTAAAAAGTGGGGAGAAAAGCTTCCAACAATTGCACAGTTCACAGCTGAGACGCACGATCCTCGGAAGCCTTTTTTTTTTTTTTACTACCGGTTCGCAGAACTAAGGATAATTGTCCCTCCTAGTTCAGCCGAACTGGGCTGAACCAGGAGGATTTCAGCCCTGCTTTAAACCCTTTCTATTTTCAGTCTTCAAATACAGCAATGGTAAGCTATGCACTAGAGAAAATGCACAGCATTATAACTTCTGTACCATTATTAAAGCATATTTAAATATTTCTTTCTGCAACGTAAAAAGATTTACTTTTGAAATTATATTTCTGCACTTTTCTGAATTGTTCATATGTAATATTTCTACATGAGAGTCAGTTGGTTAAAATATCAAGGTAGAAAGTAGGAGATGTGAATTTTACTCTCAACTGAGACAAAAACAGCCAGCTGGTTGACCTTGAGCCAATCACTCTCTGCGGTGGCAAGTTACTTTCAAAATCTTGCCAAGAAAACTGCAGGGCGTAATCCAGGTAATCACCAGGAGTCAAAAATGACTCAAAGATGAAAGAGAGCGAGAGTGGGGGGAGCGAGGAATAGACCGGAGGAAGGGAGGGAGGGAGGGAGGGAGGGAGAGAGGGAGGGAAGAAGGAAATCTATATAAGCATCTCTGCATTTATTCAAAAGCTCCAACAGAACCCAAAATACATATATTGACAAAAGTTAGACCGTAAATCTTACCTACAGTTTTCAGATGCCATTATCTGAGTTATATCATAGGGCATTTATACATCTATCTGGAGATCAAACTTGTCCTGAGCCTATTGGTCTTTTTTAAGATTATACATTATTATATCCTTTTTTGCATTTATTTACTAACCTAATTCTTTTTAAAGAATTCTTCTTCTTGAGCATTTAAAGAAGTCCTGTTACTGTAGGGAGTCAAGCCTATGCACTGATGTTCTCTTTTAGGTCCATGGCAATCTCTAAGGAAGTTTCTGAGGTGAGACAGTGCCACTTATTTAACTTTATCTGCAGATATTTTTAAGGGTACATTTTTGTGTGAGCTGGGCAAGACCTTGGAATATATGAATAAAGAATGAGACCCTGCTCCACTCCCTCACTGTCTACTGACTTATGGAACTTCAAAGAGTTCCAAAAACTAGGAATGGACTATGGTTTGGGGGTTACCATTACTCATGGCATTCTATTTCAAATTCATATGTAAAAGTAGACCAATTGTTATTTATTTGGCATCTTACAAAAAAGGGAACAGGGAAAGGGAAAAATACCGACATAACACATGCAAACATATTTAGACAAAACATTTTGCCTGTCAAAGATTTTTCTTTCATATATCTATCACTGCCCTGTTGTTTGCCTTTCCAAATGCTTTCTCTAGATAAATATATAAAGTTCCCATGCAACTTTGTAATTTTGAATTGAATGTTCTCTTACATACGTAGAACCAGTGACGTGCAGTCAGGGGAGGCAGAGCCTCACCACTGTCATTATGAAAAGAAAAAAAATGTAAAAGGAAAAAGGCAAGAGCTGAGGTCGGGCTAAGCTAGTTGCTGCCAGAGTCACAGTGGATAACTCAGCTTAGTGCTTAACTGTTTAAAAAAGCCTCTAAAAAGCTCCCTCTATAATCTGACTTTAGGCGTTTTATGATCACTTGAGCAGAGTTAAGCAAAGGTTAAAAGCTGAAAAATTCCTGATGTAGATGAGGCATGTCGTTCTCCTGCCTCCTCCTGTAGAGGGTGCTTTTTTAAAACAGTTAAGCAGAGTCATCCACGGTGACTCTGGCAGCAACTAGCTCAGCCTGACCTCAGCTCTTGCCTTTTTCCTTTTACATTTTTTTTCTTTTCATAATGGCAGGCAAGAGCAGAGTTGAAATCCTCTCTGAAACAGCTGGAAAAGGTACGTGTGGGTCGGAGAGAGGGGGAGGAATTCAAACTTCATCCTCTTGGTGTGGGGCTTTGGGCAAAGGCTGGAGGGAAGTGCTCTCCCTCCCCAAGTGTAGTTTGATTGCAGGCAGAGCCACTTGTCTTTTTAAATCTGTAATCAGTGAAGCTGGATCTTCTGAGGCTGGGGGAAAGTGTGTGTGCTCCAGTATGGCTCTTTGACTGGCTTCCTGCCTCCTCCTGTGGTCTCCCTGACTCCCTCCAAACCAACTTTGTGTGTGTGTGTGTGTGTGTGTGTGTGTGTGTTTGAGAGGGGGGAGGAAGGGAGAAAGGGAGGAAGGAGGGG